TATATATATATATATCTTAGTTTTCAAGTTATGAATGATTAAAGAAAATATTCGAAGTATCCGCCTCGTGCGTCAACAAGTTACTCTACAGCTTATCACGTTTCGATGTTATCTAACGTTTTTAGAAACAATATCTATCAAATGGGAATAGAATTTAAGGCAGTTACTATCTTATCACAAGTTATTGTTCTAAATACTGTTCTCTAAAAGCGGCACAAATTTTGCTTGATAACAGGTCTGACTATCAAACAAAATTTGTGATTTATGCACGATGGTACTCTGCTTTATTTCCATCTTGAACCAAGACCATTCCGAAACAACGTCTTCGTAAACCGATAGAGCGAGGTGGACCCATTCTATAGCTGCCACGATCTAATCTCAATTCATTAGATTTTCATTGGGACCATTTAAAATTGTGTATTTAACGCCATTAAATAATGTGGATGACCTGCGAGAAAAGATAATGAATTTGAAACTATTCGGAGAATATCTACTATTTTTGAACGAGTGCGGAATTTTTACTTTAAACATTTTTTTTAATCATCTATAATTTGAAAACTAAGGTAGGACATATGTTCATATAACGTTTTTTTATTTTACTATAGCGTAAAGTTTTACTTCTTAAAATATTGACATACATTTATAAAACACCCTGCATAATAAATTATGAATATTGTTTTATATTTATAATATTGATTATTCGATACATGTGCTTTTAGTTAGCAAGCATAAAAATTAAAACAGTTATTTTTGCTATGATATGTAGATAGATCATGAAATAGTTTGCTGTATACATATGTAATTCTATAGAATAACGATTTAATAATCTATATCAGTCTTATTTTTTATACTTATATCGTAATAATATACTGATATACTTTATGAATCTCTAAAATTTTTGTATCCTATACATTGGGTAAAATTTACCTGGACTATTTTTGAAGTGCATCATTCCGACAAGGTATTGAAGAAGTGGAGTTGAGCTCAGTTGGGTAAAAAAGAAGTTCTAAATCGATGCATTTTAAAAGATTCTAGATCACAAAATAGATGGCCAGGTAAATTTTACTCAATAAATTTCAGTGACAAATATAGTGTGATAGTGTAGGGTTAATTATTAGTATATTTTGTGTTTTAATTTCATAAAGTTGATAATAATACATTTTTTAAAACAGAGATGGAGAATCAAGATGAAGTTCGTACGCTTCTCCTGTCGTTACTAATCTCCAGAAAAGATGCGACATCTATAGTTGTTCTTGAGAGGGATTATTATAACATGGAGAAGAAACGTATACCATATCGTAAATTTGGTTATAACAATTTAGTACAATTTCTTCAAAGCATGCCAGAGCATTTCGTTGTCGAAGAGTCTAACGGTGGTCACTACATACGCGGGATAGCAGATAAAAGTAAGCATGTGAGTTCATTGGTGTCACGTCAGAGAAATTCCTCCAACAAGAACTTAAGAACCAGACATTCATCTCGTCAAGCTACTACATTTAATCGTCGCACTCAGCATGCAAGGATTCCAGTTAGAATCCCAAATGGCACATTAATTGATCTTATTAATTTTATCAAAACTCATCCAAATGGTATGAGTTTGCAGAATGCTTTGCTATACATACAGGCGAAAATGCAGTATGTTCCTATCTCTCATCAAGATTTGCGGGCGCAACTGCATGAAGTAACGCATCAGTTGTGCATAGATGGCAACATGATATATGCGGTCCGGAATGATTTGCAAAGTAATGTAGCCCAGCAGCCAAGTAATCAACAACCTTTAATGGAAGAGTCTTCAATGCAGTTATGGAACGAATCTGAATTACCGGACGATTCAATCTCGCCTCCGACACAACAAACTGAATGTCCTGCCGGAGAGGAGGACTTCGAATTAGATTATTTTGATGATGAAGATGAAGATTATTTCGTGTCACCCTGTAGTAAAAACAATATTGATAACTGCCAGAGACGTCCAAAAACAAGCGAGATGCTTGCAACGAATCTTGCACAGCATGCGAAATCTGAACAAACTGATATGTTCAATTACAGTAAGAGCCCAGATAATAATGAAAGTTTTGAAAGCTTGATGATGAATAGTAACTATACGGAAATGAGAGCTACTGAATATCCGCAAGACAAATCCGAGATAGTAAGCGATAGAATAAAGGCTCGATTGAAGAAGTTACTGCAAAAATATCCGGATGGCATCTGGTGTGCTGAATTGCCCGATATATATCTTAAAGAGTATAAGGTCCACTTGAATTATAGCAACCTGGGCTTCACAAGTGTGCGTGAATTTACGTCTTACCTACCGAAAATTTTCTACATGACGCAAGTTAATAAGACTGATGACTTTAAGTTATATAGTGCGGATAAGAGGCCAGTAGTTCCAAAAGCAGAATCTATTAATAAAACATCGCACAACCACCAATACGACGAACACAGAACAGCACGATACAATAATTTTGACGATGACCCAATCCCATCAGAAATTGTACGTAATAAATTATTCACTGATAACATGTATATTTGCTTAATGATATTTTAGAATTAGCTTTAGGATTGCCAGCAAAGTATATTTTCTCGTGAATTATTCCATACATTATTAACCCTTAAACGGCACACATGGGTCATTTGTGTGCGACCTAATTTTGTAACTCTTAAAGTGCTCGAACAATTTTGTTAAAATTTACACATGTTTTTTAAGATCTCTATTAAATTATTCTGCTATGTAGCTATTGGAAAAACAATTTGGAAAAATTATAAAAATTACTTTCTACACCAGAGAAAAAGAAAATTATTAGAAAACGCATGAAAACGAATGACCCATTTAAGAATTAATACTTTGACACAAAAGTATTTTTTTTTCTCTCGGAAGTGTACTATTTCTCGAAAATTTTTTCGTACTGAACATTATGCCATTGATAAAATTGATATAGCATGTCAAAATTTTGGCGTATAGTCAAAATTTTTAAATTGATGTGAAATGTATGAAGAAAGACATTTTTGCCATATTCGATATTTTTTTTTAGGTTTTATAAAAAATCTTGTTTTTAAATAAAATTTGAAGCAAAAAAATAAGTTGTAGGATAAACTAAAATTTATTTAAAAATAAATTCAAGAACTTTTAAATAAATTTTAATTTATCATACAACTTATTTTTATCAAATTATGACTGTTTGAATTTAGACCTTAATAATATAATTACACAATTAAATAAAAATCTATTTTTTTTTTTCGAAGTACCATAGTACATACTCCGAAGATTTTTTTGAGGTGAACACGACACCGTCGTCAAAATTTGCACAGCACATCATGATTTTTAGTAAAGTGGTTTTTTACTCATTTTATCCTAATATACTATGGGTGCGTTTCGAATTGTACATGAAACACATGAACTATATTACTGTTGCGCAGTGCTTTGAAATCGTTCCATTTTGTTAATGCGCATGAAACGTTTTAATTATTCGGAATAATTTCTTGCGTGATCTGCTCATTAATTATAAACTATAAAAATATTAAGAATAAAAATGTTGGTAAAACTTCCCCTTTACACTGTCAGCCTCAAATGACCTCCAAACCTGACCTTGACCCTCAAGGAGAGTTGACCTTTTCGCTCATTATTCATTAAAAAGTTATGAACAGGATAATTTTTATGAATAGCACACAATTTTTAAACATAAGGTACATATTTCAGCAGTATTTTTCCTTAACAGGGAGAAGTGAAAGTCATGCGCCCTTAAGCAAGGGGAAAGATGGGGTGGCAGTCGCTTCGCGTAGAAAGTCGTATGCAGAGGGCGAAGCGACTCTTACTCCACTTCTCCCCTGCTAACAGAAATACTGCTGAAATAAATATTTTATATTTAAAAATTATGTGCTATTTATAAAAATTATTCTGCTCATAACTTTTTAATGAATAACGAGCAACGGAAAAGATTAGTGATCTTGACCTCCTTGATGGTCAAGGTCAAAATCAAGGTCAATTGGAGGTCATTTCCTATTCGGTATAATTACTCATAAGTCATAAGACATTGTCTTAAGATTATGAGGCATTTTACAATAAATCATTAGCCATAAATCAGAAGTTAGAAGCTGGAAATTAATCAATCACAGTATGGATAGTACAATCTAAGAAATTCTCAGCGCTACCAAGCACTTCCATGCGCGTATTGATTAAATCGGAACGATTTTCTATACAATCTGCGTGCTACATGCATAACTCGGAACGCACCCTATAATTCCTGAAAGGCTACGCACATTCTGACAACAGCATTGTGTTGAACGCGAAAAAATATTTAGAATATGTACTACAGTACTTCGAAGAAAAAAAAGGTGAATTTTTTTGTTCAATTATAATTATACAAAAAGTTTAAAATTCAAATAACTATAATTTGATGAAAATAAGTCATACAATCATGAATTAAAATTCATTTGAAAGCTCGTGAATTGTTTTAGATATTGCAAATTTTATTTAAAAACAAACTTTTACTTTACCGTAAAAAATGTTGAAACTGGTTAAAGTTTATTTAAAATTCTGATGCTAATTCAATGAAATAGAAATTAAGATCTATGAAATAATATAAGCTAAACATTAATTCTTTTGTGTTTAATTTTTATTTTAAACAGAAATCTTGTATATTGTTATATATTTAAGTATAAGGATAAATTCATGAATAACGTAATTTTTTTAATATAAAAAATGTGTGTATTTATAATATTTTTTTTTTTACATCTTCTATATATTGGGTTAATTTAAATATAATTATATATTCTTGTATAAAATATATTTATTATAATGATTGACTTTTATTATAATGGATATCGGAAGAACGTTTATTATTTGTGATATATGATAATTCAATGACTATGATGATGTGTATAATTTTACAGTCGTCTTCCATTACCAAGAAGTTCGCTCCCGACGGTGTAATGAATTATGGCGATGATGTAGGCAAAATACTAGTAACTGATTTAAAACGCACCAAAAAATTCTTAGAGACATATGTTGTAGAAGTGTTTCATCCAAACTTTTTCTGGATACAACTACGAGAAAACAAAAAACGATTTAATAAAATGATGGATGAACTACAGTAAGTACATAAGCAGTTGACTAATCTTAGCGCATTTTTTAGTCAATGCTGGTATTAAAATCTAAATAAAAAATGTCTTGTTTTCAGAAATTTCTATATACTTAACAAAGATAAATATGTTATTGCAAAAGTCGCCTTGAAAAAGGACTTGAATTGTGCATGCGTTTTCGATGGTAACTGGCATCGAGGAATCATTAAGAGTGTAAAGCCAGATTTCAGAGTAACGGTTAGTGCAATGATAAGTTTTCGACAATTATTTTCATTAATGTTTAGAAATTATGTTTTGATATGTAACAATTTTATCTTCCAAAACAGATATTTTTTTATGATTTCGGCACTTTGAAGGCATATGCAGCTGAAGATATATATTATTTGCATTCAAAGTTTTCCTATTTGCCCGCCCAAGCAATACCTTGCGGTTTATATAATGTTAAACCAAATGTTGGTGATCGCTGGAAGAGAAGCGTATATGAACAATTCTATGACAAAGTCAGTGAGACTCTTCTAGCTGCAACTATAATTACTGTCGATCCTCCGGTGAGATTATTTTTTTATTTCTAAGATGTTTTAATTCTTAATTTTAAATTATATATATTTTATAATTATTCATGTCTTTGTGTTTTTATTATTTTGATATCTTTATAATTATTTTGTTTATATCAATTTTTTTATTTTAATTTTTAATATTAAAAGATAAATTACACCTTATTTTTTAATTTTTAAAACATTAAATTATGTAACTTAATGTTATTACAAATTTATTATTAAATTAATTCTCTGATTATTTTGATAGAACAATTCCATGTTGGTCGTTTTGACCGATACAAGCGAAGAAGAGGATGTCTGTATAAACAATTGGTTAGTGAAAGAGAAACTAGCGCAATTTGGTAAAACGGTGCGTATAAATGACATAAAAAATTTTATGATGTTCGATTTCGACTCTGCTCCGTCTATAAGAACAAGACGCAAAGACAGTGTAAATAAACCGCGACACTGTAGAGATCAATCGATATTGCATGATGAAAGAACGCATGTATTATCTAATGTAAAAAGCGAAGATAAGAAAACTGATAAGAAAACTGTCAAGTCCTCTCATAAGCTTCCGGATTGTAAAAAAAAGGTCCTAGAGTTATTCAATAAATCTCCGGATGCTAAGTTTTTGCATGTTAAATCTCCATCCGTTAAATCTACGTCTATTAAATCTCTGGATGCTAAGTCTCCAGATACGTCATTAGATGCTAACTCTTCAGATACCAAGTCACTGGATGCTAAATTGCAGTCGAGTAATTCATCATATTCACAAAATGGCAGATCGAAGACGCCTAAAGAATTTAAAGAAGTTATTTCAATGTTTAAAAAATTAGAAAGATCAAAGCTTAATGGAATATCCAGTTCAAATTCAAACACTTCCATATCTGAGGCAAACACGGATAACGAAAATAATGTAAAACAAATCGATTCAAGCAAGAAAAAAGAATCGCGGTATAGCATTGAAGATTGTTCAATGAATTTTAATTTACGAAATTCCGATGATGAAAATGATCAGAACGATTTTGGAACGTTTAGGAGTTTATATGGTGGACATGGCTTAATGGAACCTATCGATTGGTCAGTAATAAGGGAGGAGAATAATCTTGCTCATAAAACTGTTACACCAATGAGAGAGTGTAAGAGCGATGCAGAAGATAAATCAGGATCGCATAATCAGAGAAATGAATTACAGAGACATGAAGTATCTGGAAAACAGTATTTTTTAGACTTGACCTCTTTAGAAAAGGAAAATTTTTTACCTGAAGATAACATTGATTATGATGCTGCATCTGATTTTTTAGATATGCTGAAAGATAATACAGTATCTAATCATACTGTTACAGTAATGTTTACACCAAACGTAAAACTTAAGACATTGCATAATAGTCGATCTGAAGATACGAATCCCAGCATAAATATTATTGAGCTCAATGACATGGCTTCTTCAAAGGAAATGGATCAGAAGGTAGACAGAAATGGCAAAGTATGCAATGGTAAAATAAGAGCTGATCAGAAAATAAGGGATAGAAATTCCAATATAGTTTCAGAATCAGTTTCCTCACATACATCTAATAATAAAGATAATATAAATAAAGAAATGTCTGAATGCAGTTCAAATAATTTCGTTCAATCCAATACAAATAATAAAGCGTATTCTCTTAAGACGTTACTAGAAAAACTAAAGCGTAAGAAGCAGATGGATTCGATGAACTCTAGTTTTCTTAACACAAGCGAATCTTCCAGCAGCGAACAAATTCCATTGTCACCTCATAGTTGCAATACATCCGATGATACTATTATCTCATCGCACGACGAACAAGTTAAGGAATCTGATGTGATGGACCCGAATACTTACACGATAGTTAAAGAGCCCGCATCTGAGAAGTTATCTAAGAAGTTGACAGTTGAATCACATAGTGATTCCGAAGGAACAAGAGATCTTTCATCCTTGGAAACAGATTCTATTGCTTCTTCTAACGTTGATGACACAAAGCGTCGGTTGAATCAGTCTATGGAAAATGATTCTGCTGCTTTTTCTAATGCTGAAAACTCAAAACAACATCAGTCCTCCGATTTTATCACTCCATTCTGTAACATTAATGGTTCAAACCATCAATTGACTACAATAGATCAAACATTGGACGTTTCGAAACTAACGCAACAGATGTTAAAAATTGTACAAAATATGGAGAATAATTCTGAATTGGATTCTGACGATCTAAGCCAAGAAAGCCTCAAAGATGACAAAAATGACGAAAGTAAGGGCGATATATCGAATTACATGTCTGAAATGACTGAATTAATGAATAATGATGCGAATATGATCGAAAAAGCATTTACTCTGTCGGACTGCGATGAAGCATTTGATGACAGTGAATGGGATGCAGGTGTAGATCCTAGCTTTCTTTTTTATCTCGCAAAAGTGTTTAAACAAGCAATGTAAATTACCGAAATTTCAAATGATAAAATTTTAAATTTTCCATGAAAGAAAATTTTGCGTAAAAATGACCAACTTTATTTGTTAAAAAAATGCGTTTGTATAATTTTGTATCATATATAATTATAGTTACATAATAATATTTAAGTTAAAAAAATATACTATATACTCGCGTTA